GAGGAAGAATTCCATGAAGCAGACATACTGTGGCCAGATGCAGCCCAGGATCCGGGCTACTCTGACGACGACGGCGACGAAGGCCATGACGAGTACCGCCGTCCCGCCCGTCCGGCCAACGCGCCAAACCGGCAGAAACCGTCTTCCCCCATCGACATCCCCGGAAAGACCGGTAGGGCTACTGGTGCAAAAGCGCCGGCTCAGCAGGCCGGGTTCAGCAAGTTCGGCGCGAGCCTTGCGGGCGCCGGCGCCGGCAGCGTGATGATCGGCAGCCAAGTCTTCGTGCCGCCGCACGTCATCGTCGATCGGAGGGCCAAGAGGGACATGGCGATGCTGATGCTCGTCGACGCGCCCAAGGTCCGGAGAGTGAGGGCGATGGTGATGCTCGAGTAGCACCGAAAGTTTTTTTTTCCTACCGTATCGAAAGTCTTTGGTGGAAATGTTCGTTCCATTTCAAATAATTTTGAACCATTTTGTGTAATTGACGTGAAAGCGAGCTCCTCCTACTGTTTACCTCGAAATGGTACAGCGAGTCATGTAATCCGAATACTTCCCCCTAAAAAAATGTAATCCGAATACTTTTAGAAATGCATGTATACGTACGTGGTAACACGTAGGACGTTTATTTGAGAGGGTAGCCCGCTGCTGGTGCTTATCCGTTCACTGCGTGTGGGCAGAAGATGGTAGTCATCTGTTTTTTTCTTTTCTTTTGGACACGTCATCTGTCAGACAGTCAATAACACCACTCTTAATAGCCGATTAACCTTCATGAGAAGTTAATATTACACACGTTATTAACTTCATCCGCACACAGTATCTCTTACTTCCTGACCAAGGAAAACTCCGGGCAGGAGCAGTACCATGCTTGGACGCAAAAGGAAAGTAATCCCCCACTCCCAGCGAGAAATAATCAAGTAGAGTGCAAACTTATCCTTCAAGAAGGGAGGAATATATGTGCGTTGAACATTTCCAATTAAACCTAACCTCGACCCAAGATTTACAGCTGTTGGAGGGCAAGCATATACATGGGCGCAAGCAACGGCGAACCATATAACATTTCATTTCCTCCGTAGCATACAATTGGACACGTCGTATATAACCTTATCTTCTTCTCCCTCCTATATCTCCCTCGATTACGTGTGCAAATGCCCTCAAGTAACCTCTCCTACTCGTCCGGATGTGCACGTCAGTACAGGTGTCTGCATGCCATTGTTGGTGCAGTGTAGGAGCTCCTCTCTAGATTTTGTTGGGTAGCTGGCTTGCGAGGTGTGACCACTGGCATGAGAGACACTATTCTGTGGCTGACCTTGTGGTGGTCTGGCTGGCCAATGGAGATGTGAGCACTCTTCTCCGGTTTCTTGCCTTGCGTGACATTTATATTTCTCACAGTTTGTAGCCCACCTGTTCACTCTCACGGCCTCATGTTCTTGTGCGACAGCCACCGTGCCAGCATAAACAACTCAGCAATCAATTATTGACTTACCAGAAGCGTCTAATTAATTTCCCTATCCAAGATGACACGCCCATTGGCTTGCGTGGCAGAATGACAGATTTTGTAACTACTTGTCCTCCCGGCAGTACTACTACTATTCGGCTTTTATTACGAAAGAGAAAAAAGTGAGAGAGAGAAAAAGATGCGAAAACCCCTCTTCGAGGCCGAGCTCCAGTGAGATCGGTTTTTGAAAAATTTAAAAATCATCAAAATTGATCTTTTTACATTTCTGAAAAAAAATAGATATACATGAAGGCATAATGCAGAAGTGTGTAAATTTTCAGAACAAAATATGTTGAAATAAGGGTTGTGCAAAAAAGACAAATCTAAAGCTTTTTAACACATGATACTATTTGTCCTCCCAGGTCATGATTTTGTACACATCGTATTTCAAGGTATTTCATCCTAAAATCTTACACACATGTGCATAACATCCTTATTTACTTGTACATATTTTTTCAGATCTTTTTGAAACTGGAAATTTTAAATTTTAGTTTTTCCAAAAAAAAAAAGGCCAAAACGCCTCATGCAACTTTTTTTTGTGAGAAAACTTTCGATCTATTCATTTTCAATCATGGCAGTACAACAAACATCAGAGATAATAAAAATTACATCTAGATCCGTAAAACAACAATCATGGCAGTACCACTTAGCGACGACAAAAGGCGTGCCGCTGTCATTGCCCCTCCCTTATCGGAGTCGGGCAAAACTTGTCGTAGTAGACAATCCGAAAGTCGTCGTGCTAAGGCCCGTAGGACTAGCGCAACAGAACATCAATCATCGCCGAGGAAGAGTAGCGTACATCGAAAGGATCCAACCTGAAAACACGCCCACGGATGATGCTAGACACACCATCGAGACGGGGGCTACGCGGGGAGAACCTTATTCCATCTTTAGAAAGCCGCCGTCGTCTCGTCTTTTTGAGCAGGAGAGAAATCCTAACAAAACATGAAAAAACAAATGAAAATAGAGCCCTCCCGCCGGTAAGGGCTGAGATTCACCATGCCGCCATGGCCCTAAGGTCACCAAAGACGAAGCGGACCGCCGACGGCGCCGGCGGGAGGCAGGAAACCCTGAACTTGTCTTAGAGAGGAGGCAGCCCGCTTCTCATTCGACTTCTCTTGCTATGTGAAAATTTTACCTTGTACTACTTGTGATGTTTGAACAGTTTCATGTGAGTTATAGGCCAAAAGTTTTTGTACAACACGGAAATACCCGTTGGAACGCTCAAGGCCCCAACACGTTGGGCTAGCTAGTGTGGGAGGAGAGATTTGGTAGCAAGTCGTCATTGACTTCCAAAACTATACACGAAGTACCAACGTCCAACGTTAAAATAACGGACGGATTGGGCATTCGGGCTTACGCGAGCAAATCATGCGACGCGTTGTGCCCAGTTCCTGCCCTTTTTTTTTCCTGGATCAGACACGCGTCGAGCGGAACGTACGTGGATGCTTCCCATCCTTTAGCTTGCCTGCAGTGCACACGGCAATAACGAAACCAATGATCCACTCGACACTCGTAATGGTACGACTGCAACCGGTCCGATGGCGCAGCAGCAGTGCACACGCGTCCCCGAAATGATTAGCAAAGCGCAGGCCGATGGATTCCGTTTGCTTCCCAGCCGAGGGCCAGAGATTACACGAGTAGGTCCGTGAGAGAGTCGCAGGGGTGCAGGGGACGCGTGTGATGCAGTCGAGGATTAATTAATCTGGATCAAGCCTGGCGTAATCTTGACACGCTTTAAAAATGGGATCTCGCGCTCGTGTATTCGGCTAGTCTCGTCAGAGCTGCTGCGCGCGGTGCTTTAGATAATGATAGTATAACTTTCAAAGGATTTCACCGCCTTATTTGTAAATCTTATATTCCCTATCTGAAGGTGTATGTGGCACCTTCGTCACCTGCCACCAATGACCGGATTCATGATTAGTAGCAAACGGAAGAAAGAAAATAGAGGGAGAAACTGATCGCTCGCGCTTGTATATACGACTAAAAGTAGATTGCAGCTTCTTCTTTTTAATAAATCTGAAAAAACAGATTGCAGCTTCATGTCGACCAACCTTATTTCTATGTTTTTTTTAGAAACAACTTTATTTCTATGTGTGTGAGCCGGTGGATTGGATCAGCCTTTATTTGACCTGGCCCGGTAGGCCCGCGATCCGGTTCCGGCCTCATCCTCCACGCGGCTGCCGCCGTACGTGGGAAGCTACACCTACACGCACGGCATGGTGCCACACCGCCTATATATACGCGCTTCCCCGTCACAGGATAGGACGCTAAACCAGAAAAGAAAGATCATCGAGCTTCCAATCCAAGTCCTCAGTCCTCACCAGTGCAATACGTGCGCGAGCACAAAACCGCACAAATATGTCGACGGTGGAGGAGGAGCTGTCCGAGTGCGAGGTGCTGTGGCCGGAGACGCGCCACGGCGCTCCGGGGAGCGCGTGGGGGTCGTCGACGGCGGCTCCCAGGGCCTCCAGGGACCACCGGCAGTGTTCAGCGCCGGTGGACATACCCCGTGGCCGTGGGCGTGCTGGCCTGGACGACGACGAGGAGGAGGAGGACGGCGCCATGGTGCCGCCGCACCTGATGGTGTCGCGCAGGTGGTCGGAGGGGAAGGCGGCGGCGGCGTTCTCGCTGCGGTCGGGGCCCGGGCGGGCGCACCGGGACCTCAACAACCTGCGCAACTCCGTGCTGCGGATGACCGGCTTCATCGAAGGGTGACGTGACGAGGCGGACCCGTCATTTGTGCATATGTGAGAGAAAAGTCAGTCACCACGCGCCTTCTCCACGGTGTTGGCCAGTCAATTTTGTTCGGCTCGTCTTCTCCGTGTTTGCCAATCAAATTAATTATTAGTATCCCTTGGTTGATGCAAATCAGCCAGTAGTGAGTTAGGATATTTTATTTTTCTTTTCGGAATGGAATAAGCTACGTTTGTACTGCTATGAGATTCTTCAGATTGAACCGCGTCCATTTTTTCATCCTTGGTCCGGAGAGGTTTCTGTTGCTGTCGCATGTCGGCACGGGCTTTTGATCAATCCTGTGGAAAAAATGTACTGTTTGACAAAACAGAGCAAGCCTGGTAGGTCGAAGTACCGAGCAAAAAACGTGCGATTTAGCAGGTGAACAATTCAAAAATGCTAAAGAAAACATCAAACGAGGCTTCAAGGAAACGGGGAACAGTTTGTATGGAATGAGCACCTATCATCTACTAGACGGTAACGGTAGCACGAAAAGGTCCATGACGTGAAGGAAAAATCTTTATTCAACTATTTCCAAGGTTATTGCTCTGATACAAAGTGAAGCATTTCTGCGGTATGATGGTTTTACAGTTAATACTCTTGGTTATTTGATGGCGCTCATCTATCGCGGTAGGACAAATAGCTGCATACAGGATGACATCCTCTTTTGTGAAGGAGCTCGGCAAGCAAACTACTGTAGAAGAAAACGAGCATGTGGAATTTCAGGCCCAGAAACATCCTCTGAAAGCCGAAAGACAAAGTGCGGAAATCACAGTGCCCTCATCGCCTTGATCCAATCAACGTCTAATCTAAAATCTCCTGGCCCAGTCTTAGCACCAGGAATGCCGCCTTCTGCATTTAACGAGAGAGACATTCCCACGACGCGAGAAGGATTCATTTCCATGTTCGCTTCGATCACGTTTCCTTTCCATGTAGGTAAGTAGCTATCGAGAGGGATCTGGATGGAAAAACAGAGTGGTGTTTTATCATGAACAAACACATAATTGCCAGTTGCGACCAGAAAATTTACCTTCAGGATTCGCCAGCTACCATGAGGCACGTACACGAAAGCCTGCCACGAGTTATCTTCCTCTTGTCCAGGTGAATTCACCCAGTTCTCTGTGTATATCTGTATACAAATTCAGATTACGGAACATTATGTTGACTGGACATCAATTATTCATTATCTTTGCTAGTCGGATACGTACAGTAGATATGTAGGTTCTTCCATCCCCTCTGAGCTTCATTGCTATCGTATCATATGAATCAAGATCGATGTAACCATCAAACTGAAACAAGGAATCGCATGAAGTCAGCAAAATGGTGTCTAAATACCGAGACTACTCAAAATTAGAAATCCTTGTTATTTCGTGGCTATCATTATGGTGTTTATTTAAAGATACATATACTTTCTACTCTTTTTTAAGTAACTGACCATTCTTTTCAATTTAACAGCATCATTTTACTAGAATTGTGATTAGCTAGTCCATAGACACCCTTCACCAGCTACATCCCTCAGTGCAGACAGAACATATACCTTCTTTGATCGCATTCCGCAGAAACCACTCCGCCTGATCCTCCATGGTGATCCCTCGGACATATCCAAGGAGAGGTTGCCAGAAAAGACACCTTCCCGAGTGCACATGTTGGTTAAATCGTTGCAAAAACTGTCAAGCTTAAAATTAATCTGAGCTAATAAGGAAACGGTCTATAGAAGTCATGAATAAATGGATTTCATGTTTCATATAATTATATTTAACTGTTATTAACCAGTACATAGAAAAGATAGCAGCTGATATTCCCTGCTTAACTAGACTAGTACAGACAAATGACAACGAACAGTACTACAAGGCATTCCCTTTTTTAGACAGCGAATAAATGGATTGCATATTTCATATAATTATATTCAACTGTTATTAACCAGTACATAGAAAAGGTAGCAGCTGATATTCCCTGCTAAACTAGACTAGTACAGACAAATGACAACGAACAGTACTACAAGGCATTCCCTTTTTTAGAGAGAGATTAAGCTTATTTCTTCTCATAGGGTTCTACATGACTGCAGTTACATACCACATACGAACTGGAAAATAGTGCGAGCTATACTTCAAAAGATTGGGCCAGCTGGAAAATTAAGTATGTCAAAGACATAGTACCAGTTGATGAAGTATCTCCACCAGAAACACCATCAGTTATCTCCAGTGATGCAGATGATAAACCTGGAGAACAACACCGTGCAATCATATTATCTCATAGATGCAAATACAAGTTTGATATTAGTTCCGTTTTACAAAAAGGTGTCAGAGGGACGGTATATAAATTAAATACAGATGTCAGAGTGATAATCATCTGTGGTGGAGAAAACAGGTTATCAAATTTCCATCATCAGACGTAATCATCTGTGGTGGAGAAAACAGGTTAATAAATTTCCATCAGATGTAAGAAGCAATCCCATGAAAATTATTGTAAGCCATGAGGCACTACAGTCTTGATGTTTTACTCATCTATAAAGAAAGTAAACTAGTACAATACATTGGTATCAGATATAATACCCTACAGTGTGCACAAAGGAAATGGACAGTAATGCTCTACTGTAGCACATATCCTTAGGAAGGACTAGATCATACATCAGGAAGATTCTAAGTACCAGAACTCAATAGCAAATCATTTTAAGTTGTTCTCCTGAAGAAGAGAGCTTTTCTTGACTTTATTCATTTTTGCTCGAAACAAGGAAGATACAGTAGTATTAGATATAATACTCTGCGGTGAGCAGAAAGGAAACAGATAGTAATGCTCTACTGCAGCACATACCGTTAGGAAGGACTACACTATCTAAGTACCAGAACTCAATAGCAAGTCATTTTATGTTCTCCGGAAGAAGAGAGTTTTTCTATTCAAATTTTTTCAACACAAGGAAATACCATGGACGCCTAAATCAGTAACATATTCATCTAAAGACGTCATTCTTCAGCAACTCAACATGCCACCTTCTTTGCATATTCCGAGAATAAAATGATAATAACAATTTTGGTGCCAGGCAGAAATGTTGGGAGCTTAAATCTTTCATGAGTATCTCACAATAAAAAAAGTACAAACACGCTTTACTCTATCGTATCAGTTATTCAGGGAAACTGTGACAACTATATTTAAAGAAGAAAACATCAACTTGATGCATTACCTCCATACTCTGAATCCGAGTACAAGTGCCACTTCTTCACCTCATCTTTTGAATTGAAATTGAAGATGTATCTTTCACTTGGTGGAAATAAATCTTCTGAATTCCATACAACAGCTGCCAATTTGGTATATATAGGTACAAGATTAATGCATAGGCCCAAAATAATGTGTATATTGTGATGTACTATTGTTACAAAATCCACGCGTAATGCCAACAGAGATAAGGGGTTAGATATGCCAAAAGAGTTGTTCAGATGACTTAGGGGAGGGTGTGAAAATTCATTGAATACATGTTGCCAATTAGAGGAGAAAAATCGGCACTATTTTCACTTTATATAGAAAATATGATAAATTTATTTACCATACCATACAGTTAACGAAATGCATGAGTAGTAAGTTCTTAAAAATCAGCTTACGATGTCATAGGCAACAACTAAAGGTTTATATATCAATTTATGTTCGGAATGAAATTGAAATAGTGAATATATACTCTGGTTAGTGGTCTATTGTATTGGACTGATATCCATGGTAATTCTTATCCCAATTCGTCAGTACGAAATAACCTTGTGTGCACTGCATCGCACTAATCTTCAGGCTACTAGCGAGCAAGCTAGGTTCTTCACACTGACTTGTGAGAGTAGGCATGATTCCTACGTTGACCTCTTCCAGTTAACATTTCGCACGCAACAAACAGTTCAAGATTATCATAGGCAAGACAACTATGGTTTTCGTTGAGGAAATGAAACGAATAGGCACAGCGTATCAACAAGATTGGGGTGTGTGATAGGAACCTACCTCGCTTGGTAGCGTTCACGGAAGCTTGCCAGAGCGCCCGCAGCCTCGACATGGCGAAAGCTCACTGGTACCTTTGGATCCGGAGAAGGCGAGCCAGGATCCGAAGGGAGTGGCCAGCTGACGGTGACCTCGGTGGAGCCGCTCTAGCCGGAGAGCAGCACGGGGATGGTGGTGGGGATGAGCACCACGAGGATAGCCGGAGGCGTACAACCTCGCCCGGCGGCGAGGACCAATTTGTGCGGGAGCGCCACTGGCGTCGCGGAAGGGGGCGGCGGCGGGTCGGCGCCAGCGGAAGGGGACGGAGGGCCTATTGAGGACCAGATGGGTTAAGGGTGTGTTTCGCAGCATGTATGGACCTAGTCGTTCTCCACTCACAGATGTTGAATGTAAACATGCTAAGTCTATATATTTGTTGTTGTTTGGCAGCATATGCGCTTAGACATGTAGAGTTGAGATTTTATTTGGCAGCCTGCATGTGTTTACACATGCTGGACAATTTAGAATTTCAAATAAATTTTTTGAATGGTGACAAAATTTTAAAAACACGAGCAAAAAAATTAAACATTTTGAAATTCTGAACTTTTACTGATTTTTTAAATAGGAATTTTGAACATTTTTCTAAAAGTTAAACATATTTTGAAAGTCTAAACTTTTTTGAATATTTAACATTTTATTATTTTTAAAAAAATAAACAAAATTTGAAATTCTGAACTTTTTTGAAAATTTAAAATCTATTTTTTTAAAACATAACAAATTTTGAAATTCTGATTTTTTTAATTTAAAATTATGAACATTTTTTAAAAATTTAAGAAAAAATTAAATTTCTGAACATTTTTTTAAAAATTTAGAGAAATCTGAACATTTTCAAAAATATAAACAAAATTTAAATTCTGAACTTTTATGAAAATTTAAAAAAATTAGAAGTTCTAAATATTTTTAAAAAATTTAAACAAAATTTGAAATTATGAACATTTAAAAAAAAATAAACATATCTAGACATGGTCTGGTGAGTGGGGACGTGGGTCGGGGCCAGCATGGTTGCCTCCATTCACCCTCTCTGGGGTGCATGAGATGGGCATGGCTGAGGGCCCTTTTTTGCATCAGATGGGCATAGCCCAGGTGAGCTCATACACCCTACCAAGCAAGCAAAAGTGGGGCGGATTGGGAACGTTTGCCCTATGCACCCTGGATGCACCCTACCAAACATACCCAGGTTTCAGATCACACGGTGAGAAGTGGCGTGGTCGTTGTAAGAGTTTCCTGATCTTCTCTTTTCCTATTTTAAACTTTAGTTACCTGAGCTTCTCTTGTAGTATAATATAAAAAGCATCTCCAATAGATGATGTAAAAACTAAATCTCACTTGGATTAGTGTTTTCACTCGTACTCGATGGTTTAGAATACACGTCTATAGGGGCATTTTGTTTCCAGGCAAAAAAAATAGATGTTTAGGGCAATTCTAAGTGGTACACCCGACCAGAATCTATCAAATGACTTCAGATATATTCAGACGTGTATGTGGTAGCCAACAAAAAGGTGGTGGGGAAGTATTTTCACTTTCAAAGTGCACAGGCAAAGCCTGAACCATTCTGTGTGATCTTCCAAGTTCATTTACTGAGAATGAATGCGGACATCTTCTTATATTTTTTGAAATGGCGGATTTTCTGTATTTATAGAGTTACTCAGTTAATTAGGAAAACTGAGCGAAACTATATTACCTAGTTAATTATGAAAAACAAGACAAAAACATCATCTTCTTATATTTGATGACCCCAAGCCCTTTATAAGATTCGTGCAAGCAATTGTCTTCCCAACAAACCATGTGATATCTATGACTTAAGATCATCCCCTTCCCAGAAGAATCGGGACTAAACCTTTTTGATGGAATGTCCAAAAGGCACACATTAGTAAGAATCTGTATTCCCTCAAAATTCATCACTTTTCCTTCCCACTGGTCTACCGCTTTACTACCCTAATGGCGAGCGACTCCCAGTCAACACTAAAATGTGTCTCATAAGACGTTGGGAGTCCTATGTATGAAACAAGGAAAGACGAGAGCTTGCCATTCCACAAGTTGGTGATCCTCATTTCCTCGGTGTCTTTCATACCCACGACCACAACCTCACACTCACTGAAGTTGATCTTCATGACATACATCGCTTGACAACATAGTATACTATAGGTGCGACCCTACGTAGGAGACGTTTAATAGTGGTGATCTAGTGTGATGGTCAAGTTCAAACATGAGGATCGTGCCAAACTATAGGTGCGACCCCCACCCCTCCCATAAGGTGAGAAATGACACCCTTAAGGTGGCCCTCCGGCTTTGCTTTGTTGTAACTAAGGCGTTCACAGCAACATCAAACATGTGCGAGGATATGGGATCACCTTGTCTAAGGTCCATCTTCTTCCTAAAGAAAGGGCTGGTGTCCTCATTGAAATAGTTTGCAGTGTTCCCACCTAAGACCCCTTGCATCATGTGATGCACGCAAGCAACATGAAAATCTTACAGATCAACACTTGGGGAAGGAAGGGCCAATTAACTTGGCCATAGGCATTTTCAAAATCAAGTTTCCTTGTGTTTTAAACTTTGACTCCATGAATCACCTCCCTTGGAGAATGCACCTATCCAAAATAAAAGCAGATTAACATGGGTCACGATGTGTTGGGCAACCAAGACGAGTCGTACAACATCTACAACTGAACCCCTATTTCCTCCCTAAACGTCCGCAATGAACGTCGGTCAGTGCTCGGTCAAAAAGGTTGACCCAACCGGACCCTCACTTAGTCCCTATACGCTCTGACTGACCGACACCCCTCAAATCGGGACAAAATGTAGGGACGATGATGGCTCCATATTTTACGCTTTTTTAGATCTCATTTGTTGCATGTTCTCTTTATATATCATGTCCCGTTGAACCAAATAGTTGTCCATGATGCATGATTACTAGTATCTACACTTTTCATTGTGAGCATTGCACATTTAGTATTTTATTTGGTTTTATTAGTTTTCTTTGTTTTCTTGTGTCTACACGTGTTTTGTAGCAACCTAAGACCAAGCACGGTGAAAGAACCAAGGAGGGGCTCAATATGGAGACACCCAGGGGGCATACTTAGCCATTTCGGATGTCAAAAATGAAGGAAATATGCCCTAGAGGCAATAATAAAGTTATTATTTATTTCCTTATATCATGATAAATGTTTATTATTCATGCTAGAATTGTATTAACCGGAAACATAATACATGTGTGAATATATAGACAAACAGAGTGTCACTAGTATGCCTCTACTTGACTAGCTTGTTAATCAAAGATGGTTATGTTTCCTAACCATGAACAAGGAGTTGTTATTTGATTAACAAGGTCACATCATTAGTTGAATGATCTGATTGACATGACCCATTCCGTTAGCTTAGCACCCGATCGTTTTAGTATGTTGCTATTGCTTCCTTCATGACTTATACATGTTCCTGTGACTATGAGATTATGCAACTCCCGTTTACCGGAGGAACACTTTGTGTGCTACCAAACGTCACAACGTAACTGGGTGATTATAAAGGTGCTCTACAGGTGTCTCCAAAGGTACTTGTTGAGTTGGCGTATTTCGAGATTAGGATTTGTCACTCCGAATGTCGGAGAGGTATCTCTAGGCCCTCTCGGTAATACACATCACTTAAGCCTTGCAAGCATTTCAACTAATGAGTTAGTTGCGAGATGATGTATTACGGAACGAGTAAAGAGACTTGCCGGTAACGAGATTGAACTAGGTATTGGATACCGACGATCGAATCTCGGGCAAGTAACATACCGATGACAAAGGGAACAACGTATGTTGTTATGCGGTTTGACCGATAAAGATCTTCGTAGAATATGTAGGAACCAATATGGGCATCCAGGTCCCGCTATTGGTTATTGACCGGAGACGTGTCTCGGTCATGTCTACATTGTTCTCGAACCGTAGGGTCCGCACGCTTAAGGTTTCGATGACAGTTATATTATGAGTTTATGTATTTTGATGTACCGAAGGTTGTTCGGAGTCCCGGATGTGATCACGGACATGACGAGGAGTCTCGAAATGGTTGAGACATAAAGATTGATATATTGGACGGATATATTTGGACACCGGAAAGGTTCCGGGTGAGATTGGAAATATACCGGAGTTCCGAGAGGTTACCGGAACCCCCCGGTAAGTATATGGGCCTTATTGGGCCTTAGTGGAAGGGAGGGAGAAGGAGCAAGGGAGGGGGCGCCCCCCCCCCCCAAGCCCAATCCGAATTGGGAGGGGGGCCGGCCCCCCCTTTCCTTCTCTCCTCCCCCCCTCTTCCTTCCTTCTCCTACTCCTAATAGGAAAGGGGGGCCAAACCTACTTGGAGTAGGTTTGCCCCCCTATGGCGCGCCTCCTCCCTAGGCCGGCCTCCTCCTCCCTCCCTCCTTTATATACGGGGGCGGGGGGGCACCCTAGACACACAAGTTGATCATTGAGATCGTTCCTTAGCCGTGTGCGGTGCCCCCCTCCACGATATTACACCTCGGTCATATTGTAGCGGTGCTTAGGCGAAGCCCTGCGACAGGAGAACAACAAGATCATCACCACGCCGTCGTGCTGACGGAACTCCTCCCCGCGCCTCTGCTGGATCGGAGATCGGGGTGTGTCATCGAGCTGTACGTGTGTCAAGAACTCGGAGGTGCCGGAGTAACGGTGCTTGGATCGGTTGGACCGGGAGGACGTACGACTACTTCCTCTACGTTGCGTCAACGCTTCCGCTTCGGTCTACGAGGGTACGTAGACAACACTCTCCCCTCTCGTTGCTATACATCACCATGATCATGCGTGTGCGTAGGAATTTTTTTGAAATTACTACGTTCCCCTTCAGTGGCATCCGAGCCTAGGTTTTTATGGTTTGATGTTATATGCACGAGTAGAACACAAGTGAGTTGTGGGCGATATAAGTCATACTGCTTACCAGCATGTCATACTTTGGTTCGGCGGTATTGTTGGATGAAGCGGCCCGGACCGACATTACGCGTACGCTTACGCGAGACTGGTTTTACCG